ATGTGACTGCTTCACCTGAGGACCTTGTCTAAATTTAACAAAAACATGCTTAGCACTGTTATCTGACCACATAAAAAAAAAAAAATCTATGCAAATGCATAAGAGTTTTTTGTGGCGGAACATATACAGTGCCTTGCAAAAGTCTTCAACTCCCTTGGTGTTTTTCAGAGGGGTTTTTTTTTTGCTAAAATAAGTCAGTAACCTAATATAAACTATGTGGCATAGTTGATGCTGATTCTACCAAGTTAAATGGGCCCTTATAACAACCAATAAATGCCCAAGTCAAAGATTTACTGTTTTGGATTACAACAAAGATGAAGCAAGAATGTTTCCAATGCGTAGTTGCCAGCACAAATAAGTATCAGTCCAAGCAAAGAACCAGAAATTACTACTCTTAAGTATCCAGGATCATGATAAAAGCACTAATCTAAAATATGGAGCACAAAATTTCATATTGGTCATGAGTGTCTTAGGACAAAAAATACACTGTTCACAAGCATAATACTGCCTACATTCATCTACATTTGATACTACTATAGTGTGTGTGTAGTAAACAGGAGAAAAGCACAGCTGAGGAGATTGCTACAATGTCAGCCTGTCAAGATATGTACTGTGTATATATAAAGGGAGAAACCATTCTTGTAATTGACAAGATGCCTGTATGTTTCCCCTTTTTAAAAAAAAAATATTTATTTAAAAGTTTGCAAATATAACAAACATTCACACAAAAAACCCATAAGTATCAGACAGACATACAGTCGTAGGGGAATATTCACAAAAACATCTAACTGCAGTAGGGCACACATAGTCCATTATAAACTGCTCAAAAAAATTAAAGGAACACTTTGAAAACACATCAGGTCTCAATGAGGAAACATATCATGCTGGATATGTACTGTATACTGGACTGGATAATGTGTTAGAAATGAAAGGATGCCACATCGTTGGATGGAAATTAAAAGTTATCAACCTACAGAGGGCTGAATTCAAAGACACCCCACAAATCAAAGTGATGATGCAGCATGCTAGTCCATTGTGCTGAACTTTCATTGCAGCAACTCAAAAAATTGTACTAATTAGTTTGTATAGCCCCCACGTGCTTGTATGCCGGACAACGTCGGGGCATGCTCCTAATGAGACGACGGATAGCTGCATACTTTCGCCACATGAGGCCAGTCATTGTCGCACACCAGAAGGCACCCAGGGTCCACTGCACTGACAATGGGCCCAAGGATTTAATTTCGATACCTAATGGCAGTCAGGGTGCCATTGTCTAGCCTGTAGAGGTCTGTGCATCCCTCTATGGATATGCCTCCCCAGATCATCACTAACCCACCACCAAACCAGTCATGCTGAATGATGTTACAGGCAGCATAATGTTCTCCACGGCTTTTCCAGACCCTTTCACGTCTGTCACATGTGCTCGGGGTGTACCTGCTCTCATCTGTGAAATGCACATTGCGCCACTGGCGGACCTGCCAATTTTGGTATTCAATGGCAAATGCCAATCGACCTCCACGGTGCCGGGGCAGTGAGCACAGGGCCCACTAGAGGGCATTGAGCCCTCAGGCCACCCTCATGAAAACTGTTTGATCAAAAACATTCACACCAGTGGTCTGCTGGAGGTCATTTTGTAGGGCTCTGGCAGTGCTCATCCTTTTCCTCCTTGCACAAAGGAGCAGATACCAGTCTTGCTGATGGGTTAAGGACCTTCTACGGCCCTGTCCAGCTCTCCTAGAGTGTCCTGAAATCTTCTCCATTTTTTTGAGACTGTGCTGGGAGACACAGCAAACCTTCTGGCAATGGCACATATTCATGTGCCATCCTGGAGGAGTTGGCATGCCTGTGCAACCTCTATAGGGTCCAGGTATCGTTTCATGCTACCAGTAGTGACACTGACTATAGCCATATGCAAAACGAGTGAAAAACAGTCAGAAAAGATGATTATGGAAAACATTTCAGCGGCCTCCACCTGTAAAACCATTCCTGTTTTGGAGGTTGTCTCATTGTTGCCCATCTAGTGCACCTGTTGTTAATTTCATTAACACCAAAGCAGCTGAAACTGATTACAACCCCCTCTGCTACTTAACTGACCTGATCAATATCCCAGGAGTTTCATTGACTTCATGCTATACTCTGATTAAAAAGTGTTCATTTCAATTTTTTGAGCAGTGTATATAAATGTAAAGGACACCGAGGCATTAGCATGGTACTGAGTAAGTACGGAGCGTGATGTGCATAGTGACATATATTCGTAGTCAGCATGAGATTTCGGGGTAAGTATTCTAATACAAAATGCATGCACTGCCTATCGGCTAGACTCTGTGAAATCATAAAGAAAAAGTCAGGAGAGGGGGTAAGAGGGAAGTAGGTCAAGGAAAGAAGAAATTAAAGTGATGACCAACATAGGCAACGGAGACCACTAAAACTCGTAGATTCAGACATTAAGACCAAGTCACAGACAAGTGGACAAAGGAGACAGGGGGACAGACCACAAATCAAGGACGAACAAAAGCAATGACATGGATTGGAACACCGGAAAGAACAAAGACCGAGTCATGACCCAACGGAGAGAGGCCGCCACCAGAACTAAAAGGTGGATCAGACTGCCATTAAGGCACCACATTCCTGAGTTGTTTCACCTTTTAATCTGAGAATATTGGCAAGCCATGTCCCATATTTTGATTTCTCGTTTTACAAAACAAATCCAGGACAAATGCTTGACAAAACTAATCCCATAAAATTATCTATGCCTCTATAAAGTCACTTTTCATCTCCTCTCATCTCCCAAAAGCAAATTAAAAACACCCAGTGCTCGCTAATTACACTTTTTAACCACATTATGAGTTATTTTAGCCTAGATGCCAGACCAAATTTAGCAGCACCAGCCGAACAACTTGACAATAACTCTATGACTAATTTGACAACCCAGATAGTTTCTGTATATATTTTTATGCCACAAGGTTTTTAATTGGTACACTTTTAATAAACAACCTGCTCATGATTTTGTTATAAGCTGACAAATGTAAATATATGGTAAAAATTACATTTACGCAGAAAGTTTAAACTATATTTACATCCTTTTAAATTATTGTTTTCAACTTTTTTCTACACACTGTATTGCACTATGACAGCTCCAGCCTGTCGGTTTCAGCTGTCACTGTGCCTACCTCTGTGCAATGCACACTGACAACAGGCTTGTGTGTATTCAAACCTCAAGTAATCAACATGATTGGCTGTTAGTCTGGAACCATGCTGACTGGTTCCCGTTTATAAGTGTAGACCAACAGCTGTCAGTAACAGTGCAGTCTTGGAAAATCGAGTGTCACCGACCACGCTTCTTCCAAGCACCATTTTCACCTACAGTTGGCCATTTTAATCTCTATACCAAAGTAATTCCAGTGCATCTAAACCAACCTCGCCATTAAGGCAAAGGCAACCGCTTGCAGCATCTGAACCTGCCTTTTTTCTTTTTACCAGAGTGAGTAATGTTCTGCAAGCAAATCAGTGCAACCAGCAATAGGGCTTTTCCAGGCTCCACCTGATGGTGCAACATGTTTGGTACATGTGTTCTACTAATTTTAGGCAAGAAAAAAAAAAATCTCAAGACATTTTTGAGCTTTGTATTAAAAAGTATCCCAATAGAAAAAATAAAATAGTTGGCTTGTAAAAAAAAAACCTAAAAATTACCTTGAACTATATCCAATAAATTTTCCATTTTAACTAGTAGACCAGGGGGCTTGATTTACTTAAGGGAAATAGGCTGTTCACTTGGCAAAGGAATTTCCAGTTTGTTATCAGCACACCAAGTTAGTTGTCGAAAGCTATTTAATGTTTATAAGTAAGCAATGTTTTGGAGCTGGCAAAAAAAAAGTGTGTTTGAACATTAAATAGCAGTGGACAAGCAACTATGACACACTGCATCCTTAAGCCTGTAAAACTGTACACCAATTTGTTATTACTCAGCACCATATAAAACCTCTACTAACTGAATTCCTTTGCCGCATGTACTGCTGCTACTGCTTGTCAGAATGTCAAAGAATTACCAAAATAAGTGTGTTAGATGGTTACTACCAACAAGGCAAGCAGCAAGAGAAAGAAGATATAGCTTGTGGTGCTGGATGTTCAGATAAGGGCTAAAAGAAAGGAGTGTAAGCAAACCTCGAGTTCCATGTAAATGTAAAAAGAAAAAGAGTTTAGAAAAGCTGAAATCTCAAAAACAACAAGAAAAAAAAAAAGATAATGTTTACATAATTAGCAAACGTCCACTATAGACACATCAATCTACTAACGATCGTATACACTGTGCTGGCAAGGCAAGCAATATTTTGTAAACATTCTCATTCTGTACACAACTCCCAGTGGGATATGTGCTATTTTAAGTTTTCTGCTCAGATTACTTTCCATTCATTTCAGAAATGCTTCATAGCAACCGAGTTACAGAGATATGTTCATGGACCTTGGAGGTCAATACTAAAGTAACATACATACATACATACATACATACATACATACATACTTACATACAGGATATAAACACTTACTATAGTATAGTACATTTTTGCAGGGAGTGGCAAATCTGTGTTTGCAGAGGAAGCAGAAGCACAAAAGTACTGCTTTGTGATGCAATATAATCTGGAAACACAGCCAAAAAAATATGTGTATATATAGTATGGTCTCAGTTCCTTAATCTATCACTCCCAGTCAAGTAACAAGGGCAGATAATGACAAAGATACCCAAATCCAGAAAACACCAGCTGTCAAACCTGTTTACGGTCTATAATTAGTCAATGATCCTTACAGTTCATAAAACTAATTGGGCCATCTTTATTAACAATGATGCTTACTTTTGTTAAACTGAAGGAGTTAAGCTGATAACAAAATGCTAAGACATACAAAACCAAATGAGAACAGGAAAGAAAATGCCATATTCAGAAAAATTGTGTTGTTTCAGTAAGTAAATGGGCAGTTTATGGAAACCGCAAAGGTTGCACTCTTACCTGAGCAAACAAATAAGACATGACAAAGTCATCTAAAATTGGGCTCTCAGACCCCCTTGCGATCCCATAACGAAACGCTCTGCTGTTTCCATTGCTGTACCATTGTGGGAAATAAAACCTGTAAAATAAAAATTTGATAAGCTCATTAACTCTTGCTCATTAGCTCCAGCTCTTGCACTGAATTTGCTCACTATAAGGACATAAGTTGTTGGGGGTTTTTTTCAAAATACAAAAAAACACCTTTACCATAAGAAAAAGCTAAAAAAAACTTTTTTTCAAGGGTTAGCTTTGAGAAGCAACTGGTCTCAGCAGTGAGTCTGGTACACTGCAGTTGTATGATTCTTATGGACTCATTGACACGGACATGCACAGCCGTACATAGAACCCTGAGCTCAGTAGTGTAAATGGTGCATGCTGCTATGGTGCATGCTGCTATGTGCTGTCCTGAACAGATCTGCACAGACAGTCCGCATCCAGGGTTGTGCATCCCTACTTGCACATCTGTTCAAGTTCTGGTCGGCATGTAGCAGCATACAAACGTGTTCTGCCATTGAGTTGTACAGGCAGCTGCACACACCAGCTGTCACTTCTGAGCACAGATCTGTGCACTGGTAGAAAAATAATAGAACTAGCTGGACTATGGGATTCTGAAAGATTCCAACAATCCCGTTACACAAATTTCACTTTTAATTAATTGAGAAAGGTTTAATACTTCCATCCACCACCCTATCCTAAATAAAAGTTTAATAAAGTAGAATCTACAAAACTGCTGTGCCAAAAAAACTATTATTGGAAAAGCACATGGTGTAAGCAGCTCTCAAAAGGTGTATGCAAAACACAATAATCCAGAATAATCAATGCAGTACAATTGTGATAAAAATAGCAAAACAAAAGAACAACAAATGGGGCTTCCAGGGTGCCAAAGAAAGACTTAAACTCGTATCTGAATAAAAGACGATTTTATTTATACATATTAAAATCTAAAACCACTAGTGCACATATTAATTTCATTCCATCAGTATTGCAGCAAGGTACTGCCATATACATAGGGTGTTCAACAACACCAATCATACAATCTTGATATAAAGAGGGGGAGTGTCGGGTGCTCGTGTGCACTACAGGAATTTACACATACGTTATATTAGGAGGACTTCTGGATGTTGGACATATGTTTGGAGAAGTAAACATGGTGTGAAAAGGGAAAACTAAGCCCGTGGACCCTTAAGACTATTTGAGTCAACCATTAGATGGAACATACATATAATTAAGTCTGCATCTCCACAGTACATAGAGTTCATTCCATATAACTGGTGATCTATTGTGTTCTGCTTTGATCTCCCTGGAAGGCCCTCATCTGGGTGTTGAGAGCAATACCCAATACCCTTTGGTTCTGCTTCCTCTCGTCTTGCCTCTCACGCCTGGTTTTTCTATTCCCTCTTGTTGCGGGTGCCAGACGTGGTCAGTATCTATGGATTTGTAGGACTCCCGAAGAAGCACTATCGCGAAACCCGTCGAGTCTTTATACCAAGATTGTATGATTGGTGGTTTTGAACACCCCAAGTATATGGCAGTACCTTGTTGCAATACTCTTGGAATGAAATGAATATGTGCACTAGTGGTTTTAGATAAGATTTTATAATGTATTAAGAAAATAGTCTTTTACTCAGACATGAGTTTGTTAAAAAGTCTTTCTTTGGCACCCTGAAAGTCCCATTTGTTCTTTTGTGTTGTTATAATTCGAGTGGTGTGGTGCCCCACTCTCACCCTTTCAACCCCATCTCTGCACTGTACACTGTTGTTTACTTGATAAAAATAGTCTTTATTTCCAGAAAATCTTGAAATAAATCATAACGGTCCACCTTTGTCAAAAGACAGTACACAAGCACAGTGAAATGTAATAAATTCTGGCGCTCCCACTGTGCTCTCTGTCCACCTTCAGACATACGGGAACCTTACAATATCAAGGTCTTAAAACAGGTTTAACAACAAGGCTTCCGACTGCTTGTTTCTCCAATCACCAGGTAAATCATCAGTAGGTAAAGCAAATGAAGACATAAGAAAACAAACTTATAGTGCATTACTACTAAAGAATCGCCCCACACCAAACTTAATGGTGAGTTCAGGATGTACTTCTTTTTCATACATTTGCACAGATTATGACCACCTTGTATTTTTATTTTCTCCACGCCAAGTATGAGGCGTCATCAACCCCCCCTTTCCCAGGAATTCACATCTGCCCACTGAACACGCGCCTGTCACCACGACCAGACCTCACAACAACATCACCAGGAGATCACCACCATTGTGCCCATCCATTCCATCACACGTGAGTGCCCAATCTCCATTTCCACTAACTCGATCCACTGTTATTCCCTGGTCAATCTCCTTCTACACAGTGTGCGCCAGTTAGTTGCGCTCCTTCCCTTTCCTTTTTTCCATTCGTTATCACAGTTAGACAACCCGGTCTAACATAAGGAATAATGTTCTACAGATGTTTTACAAATGATGGCTCGTCATGAATTACTGGTCAGATGTACAAAAAGCCGTCATTTGTGCTTGTTGTAAACAGCCCCTACTAGTGTGAGGTTATTCACGGTTAACCAGGCTCAACTGCACTGCATGAAGCTGCCAATTTAAAATACGCTGCAGATGTGAATAGTAGTATCACCCTCCTAGCTAAGAGACTGAGGTTAAAGAATTACAAAGTGACTTAAAAGAAATAGAAATATTTTGGTAAAAAGTTCACATATATGTGTATCAGCTGCATATTTAGTGTTGCAACCATGTATGTTTGAAGGACTAGGGAAGCCTGCGTTCTCTGCTCTCCTTTTACACAGGGAAGTAGCTAGAAAAGTGCTTGCTGTTTCATGCCATTCACCTGATCCAACTGACCTCGCTACTAAGAGACCAGAACAAGGTTTCTTTATTCCTTACAGAGCTCTCTCACATTCATACATAAAATATGATATCCCAATATGAATACATCCTCAATGTCCCACTTGTGAAATATGTCCCACATCTGTACAGAAAGAAAGCATCATTACTTTGGATATTTTCTTTCCTGTTTTTAAGTCGTATTTTATCCCCTTCTGTTACTAAGCACATAGTAAACAAATCTGAATTTTGCTTATTTAGAAAGTCTTTCACAAAGTAATGGAAATGACACTTGATTTCTCTCTTCTATGCCTCGTCCATCTTATGCACACAATAGAATATTAAAACTAAATATCACACTTAGGGCCAGTTCATACTATAGCACTGCAATAACACACTGCACACCTAGTGTGTGGTAATGTGTGCGAGGTATGTTGCATTGGCAGGGCTGGAAAAATGCACTCGTCCACTCGTCTGTGACGAGTGGACGCCAGTGCTGGACGAGTAGCTTCCCGACCGGCTGTTGTAATTAAACGGCCGGCCGGGAGCTTTACATTCATTTTAACTCCTTTACGCCGCCCGCGGCGAACCGAGGAGCAGGAGAGCTGCCGCCGGCCAGTGGACTGCATTACCCAGCAGTCACCCTGGCGCAACGGAGGTGTGGCCGTGAGGAGACGGAAGGGGCTTCCGACGTCCAGAGAACACATGAGGTGTGAGGCGACAGAGATCCTGCAGGTACTGTGCCGTGTGTGACACTGTCAGCATATCACTTCCCTTCTCCATCACTGCATGATACAGTACAGAAGTGATAGAGAAGAAGGGGAACCTATCTTTCCCCAAAATTTTTTAACATAAATTGCAAGGCTATAGTCCGGTCATGCTGACTGGTGAAATTTTTGACTGACTGGTGAGACACCGTCAAATTTTTCAAGCCCTGTGCATTGGCATTCATTTGATCCGATGTACCTCCCAGGCTGTGCAGCAACATAAAAGTAATGCACACTACTTTTTTCAACGCACGGTATTTCTGTACCAAGCGGGAATGCACTGCTGCTGGGAAGTGCTTTCGGATGCTATTCAAATGAATGCCAATGCAACACACATAGCGCAAAGTAACGCTAGTTGTATCCTATCGTGTGTATAGGGCCTTACCATGTTTCTTTGCTGTATTAGTCCTTTGTATTAATTCCTCAAACCTCGGGATTCCTATTTACAAAGTTACATAGTATTTGAGGTTGAATAAAGACACAGGTCCATCAAGTCCAACCTTTGTGTGTCTGTGTGTGATTGTGCCTGTGTATATGTGTACACGAGTCCCTGTGCGATCCAGTTTTTAAGTGTACCTGTACCCCTGTATGTTGCGGTCTCTGAGGAAGGTATCTAAATGCTTTTTTGAATGATTCAATACTCTCAGCTGATACCACTTCTTGTGGCAGCGAGTTCCAGACTTTAACCGCTCTGACTGAAAAAAAGCCCCATACGCCCCTTGTGATTAAATCTTTTCTCCACCTGGCAGGGCAGGGGATCTGATTTTCTCCTCCTGACCTGTCAAGTTTTTATAGCAGTATAGTGTATGTCCCCTATGGGTAGCCTGGAGACCTTTTGGAAAGCCGTGGGACACAGTTGCAAGTGTGTTTGCATTAAATAAAATAGTTCTGCTTTAAGGATAACTGCTGGTATGAGTAACAGCTTCAGAAAAATACAGGAAACAATCTTTAAAATACGGCCACAGTAACTGCATTAGATCTATCCTTATATCATCTTCTCACAATCCCCTGCATCAGGATCCAGATTATAAGATTGGATGATTATGCATTGTTAGCCAATAAGGCCCTATTGTAGTGAATGATGTGGCCATGTTTTCCGTTTCCAGTAGGTTAAAGGAAGTTGTTCAGGCAGGGAGGAGCTCAGAAATGTGATTTCACAGTCTAATAAGCAAAGGGTGGAAACTTAATATGGAATTCCGCAGCCAGTCTGTTCAATCCAGAAGCCAGCAGGATTTTTTTTAGGAGCCAGCTGCCCTGATGAGAATCAAAAGTTACATGTTAGCTGTAATATTTAAGGGGCATTGGCTACCTGGCTCCTGGGATGTGTCAAGTCATGCAATATGCATATCATATGAAACCAAAAGCTGAAAATTGTACATATATCTACTTAGTTCCACTCCAAAACCAAATGCAGTTCTTGATTGGGGCAGAGCCAGCCCCAATCAACATAAAGCAAAATACACACCTTACTCGAAACTTTACTACTTGTTTGCTTGACTCATCCACAAGGAAGGTATGATTAGGAGGATACCATATTCTGTCAGTCTCGTTCATTAATGCAAACAGGCTATAATAGACTGGCGTCACACCTGTAAAAAAGAAAAAATATATATATCATTAAGAATTTTAGAATTACAAAATGCAAGTTTGCTTTTTATACCTTTTTTTTGGCAAAATATATTCCAACTCAGTATTCTATCAGTAACTGCCACAAAGCACTTTGTGACAAACTGACAGCAGCTAACCATTGAACCCAATATAATATAATATGAGAACACCTTGACCTTCCTAAAAATGTTTGATAAGAAAATAACCTCATCCCAAAGAGGGATGCCTAAACAATATTTACTAAACCATGGCTGCCCTTTTATGCAAGCATAGGTGTCCTAATGTTCGTAAATTAAAAGTAAGTTCTGCATGGATTATTTTTTATTCCAACACCTTACTTCTGTTTGCTTTCACATAAGAGATATAGACCATGCTTAGGAAATACTTAACACATTTCTCTGTGGAAAGACCCCCTTTTCATGTAAAATCAAGCTTCCCTGCCTCCTGAGCATCCCTACTAGCTAGATTATAATACACTTCATCTTCTACTACCTTTTTATGTACATGTGAATAGGAAAGGCAAGACTCCAGGATTATCTTGGAAGTCAAAAGAGAAATAAGGGCATTAATCATCTTCTCTTTCATGTTTAAAGCTTACCTGAATATACTGAACAAAGAAGCTGATGCACATTGCAATTGGTCAATAATTATTGTGATAACAGAACCTCCAATTGTTACAACTATATTTAGATTGATGGCCCTAAAGAATGCGGATGTTAATAGATTTACATTAGTATATAGGTCGATATATTGAAACCTCTGCCTAAATGTAGTGGGTAGTTTTTCATGTGTAGTATTTTTCTGCGGGGTTGTGCAACCATATAATATGTTTGTGACTCAGAGCACAATTTCATGTTACGTTACATTTATTCTTCGCATTGCAGTTTCAACAAAATCCACAGTCAAAAAACATAATTTTGATTTCACATGGGCGTGACAGGCCAGACAGAAACTGCTTTGCTGTATATGCAGATTTTACAGCCTTGCACAATGTAATAGTTCTTGGCAGACCTTTGCTGTGCCTACGTGCAGCTAACCCCAGGAGTTGCTCATAATAATTAGCAAGATAGAAGTAATGACTAATACACAGAGAAACAAAAGCACATGCAGCTTATCTGCAAGAGATTTTGCTTCTTTGTGTCCTAATCCAGCGTTTTTCAACCACTGTGTCGCGGCACACTAGTGTGCCGTCAATAAATCGTTAATTTCTTTGATCGATCAAAATTATTTTGATCGATCACCTCTGTGTGCACATCTCATGTATACCTTGTGTAACGTAAATACAAAACAATACCTATGGACTAAACTAGACGTTTGCTTTGGATGTACTTCCAACCTAAAACAAAATCATTAAAGCAGACCTTTACCCATATCTTTAAAATAACAAAAGATAATGAAATGGATTATGGCATTATACTCCCACCCCACGGCGGCTGTATGCATGAACGAGACTAGATCAGACTTTTTCCCTGGCAGCTTTTGCAGATGACCTGATCTTTTTTCTCGCCCTCCCCCTGGAAACTGTTCCAGCACTGTTGGCAGAGTTGGCTGTTTACGGTTCTCCGTCTAAATTCAAAATCAACTTGACAAAATCGGCAGCACTGAACGTGACACTACCCTCCGGAGATTTAGAGACCTTATGCGCTACGTCCCCATTCCCGTGGGCAAATCGATCTTTAAAATACCTAGGCACACACATATCAGTGGACTGCAAGGCCCTCTTCGATCTCAACTTTGTCCCTCTACTCAAAAAAACTAAAGAGGATGTGATAGCGTGGCGCCCATTGACACTTTCACGGTTCGGCCGGGTGAACTCCTTAAAAATGAATGTTCTGCCGAAATTTCTGTACTTGTTCCGATAACTTCCGATAACTATCCCTGGATCCTACCTCCTTCAACTACATAGACTCATCACACGCTTTATTTGGGCAGGCAACCCTTCCCGCCTGCGACATACACTACTGACTCTTCCTAAGAACTCTGGAGGTGTTGGCCTCCCGGACTTTGCCAAATATTACAAGGCAGCTCTGCTTACCAGAGTGGTAGATTGGAGTTGTCATCGTGCAACTAAAAGCTGGGTCCCCATTGAGGAGGAGGACTCCCTGACCCCGCTTGCTGGACTGCCCTGACTGTCGGCCTCTCTACCCCATTTAATTCACACCCATCCTACTATCGCCCCAACCATTATTCAATCCATGTCTGTATTCAAGGTCTCCACCCTATCGCCATTCCCCTCGCCTATGACACCGATCCTTGGTGACCCGGATTTCCCGCCGGGCATGGGAGAGGGTAGATTGAGCCACTTTATGAGGCACGGGTCTTCCGAGTTGGCGACCTTCGTATTAGAGATGGATGGCTTTCCGTCAGCGAGTTGCAAGCGATTGTTGACCCTCCTCTAGATTACTGGAGCGATCTCCAACGCAGACATTTTCTGTGCTCCATTCGCACGCCCCAATCTCTATCGCGACCCTTGACGACATTTGAGCAGATATGTCGGGACGGCTCACTGGTTCGCCATGTTGTATCTCTTGTCTACTCTGCCCTGGTAGGACCCACTTCTACACCGGAACCCAGATATGTGACCAAGTGGGAAAGGGACCTTGACATGCATTTCACTCAGACGCAGAAAGACAGCATATACTCAATGGCTCACAAATCCTCCATTTCATGCAAGATCCAGGAACTCAGCTATAAGATTCCCGGTGGTACAGGGTACCGACGCTGCTGCATAAGATCTTTCCCTGGGTTTTGCCTTTGTGTTGGCACTGCCGGCGGGCCCCTGGGTTTTTGTTCCATATTTTTTGGACATGCTCGAAGATATCCCCCCTTCTGGGATCAAGTCCTGGAGATCATCGAGCGGCTGACCATGATGGCGTTAAAAAATAATCCGGCAGCCTGCTTGCTACACCTTTTTGGATTGCTCTATCAGTCGCTACAAAACGTCTCTGACCGCTTCCTTACTGAATGCAGCTCGGGCATGCATCCCTATACTTTGGAAACGCACGACTCTCCCATCCCTTCGTTTGTGGATGGCTAGAGTAGATGACATATACCGAATGGAGGACCTGTCCTCCTCCCTCAAGAATACAGAGGGGAGATGCAGGTCCACTTGGAGCCCGTGGATAGCTTTCCGGTATTCGGACACTTATTCCAGAGAAATGCCGGTGCCTCCCGGACTGACTCTGACCGCAGTCCCCCACCGCTAAGCCCAGGGCCGCGTATTGCAGTCGATGTGTCGGCAGGGTAATCCAACCTTTGCCTTCCTCTTCAACATCACTGTCCTCTGCTTCCTACCCATCTGTGCTTCCTCTCCATGGTCTGTTCTTTGTCCAGCTATGTATAGGTCTTCACTCACTTTCCCTCCATTCTACTCCACCTTCCCTGGTCTCCGACCTTTTGCATGGGTCTATAACTTTACCTTTCTACATTCCATACTCCCCTTACCTTTCCTTCCGCCACTGCTTTATAATTTTTGCAAAACTATTCAGACAGAGTAAATAAGCAAATAATCACAAAATAGTATTAAAACAAAGTTATTTTATGTCCACGTGTGATGTGCATGGCACGTGATCTCTATCTCCCCCTGTCATTTTTTCCGACCAGATTGACACTTTTGGATGGAGATGCACATGCTCTATAATCCATGATACGTAACTTGTTGCTCATGCAATACCCGATTGATGCCTGCACTGTTGATCTTCGAATTGTAATACGCATTTAAGAGTTGCTGCACTACACTTTTACTATTCTGGATTTGTTATACATTTTTATGCACTGTTTGTTGTGCACTGCTCATATTGAGACTGTATTTTTCATGCATCTTTTTACATTTCAATAGAGACGTTTTGATAAAAAAAAAAAAAAAATAACAAAAGACACCTTTAGAAATGTTTAGTAACAACAATCAAAAAACACATGCTTCTAGATAATTGCCGGCTTTGTATTCTTTGCATAACTTATTTCTCTTTTCTTCCCCAGTCTTCTGACAGTGGCCATGTTTACTAAGGGCAGATTACTAGCTCTCCTATTCTGGCACGTGACTCGACATGTGACTATGCACATCATCTCAGGGGAGGAAAATGCCTTTCCCTGAGATTTCCCAGCAATGCTCTGCTGATAAGGCAATCCCAGTGGGCTTTGCTTTGGCAAACTGAAGTAATTTGCTTTTTCAAATCAGGAAGTGAATGCTCTGCAAGTGTAAGCATTTCAAAATCACAGCATTCTACACCTGACATGTCTATGTTATTATTAGTCATCATACATAGAGGGATGCATTGGTAGAATTTCATTTTTAAGTGTAAAGGTCTGCTTTAAAAGGAGAACTATGGGGTTAAGGCTTTTCCCCATAGTTCTCCTTAGGGTAACGGGAGGACACAAACAAGCGTCCTCCAGTCACCCTAGGCTCAGTATACCGCGAGCTGTAGCTCGCGGTATACTGAGATGCCGCAGCTGAAGCGAATCCCGGCAATTCTTCTGGGATCCGCCCAGCTGCGTGACTGACAGCTGGCTATGCCTATCTAGAGGCAGAGCCAACTGTACCCGCCCCCTCCCCCGTCTGTTCCGCCAGTCAAACCTGGCGGATCAGAGCGGGATGGAGGGAATCCAGCCCCTCCCCTGACACGGCAGAGAGCCGTGACAGGATCGAGAGGTGAGCGAACGCCGGTATGTGTTCGCTCACTTCCCAATCTACTGAGCCGACCTGTGACAGTCTCATTGTCACAGGTCGGCTAGAACTGTGAGGTGAGTGAAAAGCACCCACCTCATAGTTCTCCTTTAAAGACTAGTGACATGAGATGTGCTGCTTTCTGCATATACCTTGGGCTGCATTGCCCATTCCTGCCTCATTCCATAAAGAAAATGTTATCAAGAAGCCTTTCCAAAAAACAGAAGGCTTTTGGCAAAAGCATGTAAATGCCGATGTGTAACCACGATCGGCTTGTACTACTAAACTGGACATTTGATTAGGAAAGGCATTTTTGCT